GTTGTGTTCATCCAGCCCTGCACCTTGTTGTCAGGGATCACTAGTAGTTTAGTTTGAGTTCAGTTTCGAAAAATCAGACTTCTATTTAAGCCTAGCAGAAGAATAAGGATTTTAGTTCAGGAGATAAATTTCATCCGAGCAGAATTGTAGTTTGTTAGGTTTGTAGAATCTCAAAGTTTTAGAGTTTATAGAAATCTCTTTGCCTGTTGGAACTGAACAGAAATCCAAAGCTTCAGAAGTAGAAAGAAACCTTAGAACTGTTTCAACAGTTCAAGAAAGAATACTAGAATCAGTGAAGTAAGAATTTAAAGAGTTAGGAAAGAAGTAATATTTCTCTTGGAGTGATTATCTGTAAAGGATATTGCTGGGATAATATGTTGAATCTTTTTTGTTGCTGTTAATGTTAAGATCTTTTCAAATTGACACACATTTACAGCTTTGTTTTGTTTTCTTTTGTGTAATAAACATGTGTTTAGTGGTAAAGCAACTCTGGCAGCCTTGTGTGAATATGTTCAGTGCTTAACCAACATTGCAACAAACTGCAAAAATAGGATTTGTGATCTATCAATCTGGCTTTCATTCTGGGATCTGATTTGTGAAATGTGGACATAAGCTGATATCATATGAACATACAGGTATATGAATTTATGAAATGGGAGCAGGAGTAGACCATTAAGCCTGTCAAGCCTGCTGAGAACCCCAAAGACGCAAGAAACTCTTAAGAGAAACAGATTCTCCTCATCTCTGTCCTGATCAAGCTACCCTTCTAGTCCAGCACTCGCCCAAAAGAAGAGAATCCTGACAACTTAGTCAATGCAAATGTATTTGGGGACAATTTCCGATCACATGCTGCTTGCAGGAAATCTCACCCATTAAGCAACGCATTTTAGAAATCATCGACAGCACACATGCAATTTTCTAATACGTGGTAAGATGCCCCTTTTTTTTCTGTTAGATCAGACAAATTGTTGAGTTTTGTCTCTGATGAAGAGTCATCTAGACTCAACATGTTAGTTTGCTCTCTCCTAATGGATGCTGCCTGACCTGCTGTGATCTCTAGCATTTGTTGTTTTCAGCACAGATTCCAGTGTCTGCAGTAATTTGCTCCTAAATTGTTGAGAATGGTGCATAATTCATTAATGGGAAAAATATATAAATATGTAACGTCAAGAGATGCTTATTCCTTATCTTTATCAGTGACTTTGCTGTTGTCAAATGCTTTCTTTTTATAATGCCACTCTCTCTGTGGTTAATTCCTCATAATGTTCAAATCAGAACAAATGGGAATAGTACTGGATACTGGGAAAATGAACGCAGTATGTTTCAGCATCTCTAAAGGCAACACTAAGGGAATATTATTATTTTGTCAACCAGCCTTTGCTCTGTGATCTGCAAATTCTTTAATAATATCATGGTTTCCTCACTTACAAGGTTTCAGCTCACCTTGATGGCAATTGCCTCTTTCACTTCACTGGGACGAGGTTTGTTCCCTAGAAAGTAGATGGAAGAATAGAAACATCAATATATTTGACCCTGTTTCACTCTAGTTATAACAACACGCTTCAAGCAATCTTATCTACCCCGTAGTGAGAGATCACCACTATTCCTCGAGCAGGCTGCTAAGAAAATCTTTCTTGTACAACTGGAAATCTGAACATCCACAGACCAAAGACAAGAAGACTGGAGTCCATAATCTTATGAGAGATAGTGTTATGCCTGCAGAAAGCATATAAGAGCAGTGTATATGTTGACATAAAAGACAGATCCTTTTTGCTAGGAATACGGCTGCAGTGCTTCACTTCAGCATTCTATACCAATGAAAGAGTTTGCATCAATCCTAGTAGTAGAATTACGTCTCCACTTCTAGCAATGCAATCTGAGATAAAGTGGACATCAACAGCCTGTCCAATGTAGATGACAACATGCATATTAAACTATGAAGAATATATGCCTAAGCCGTTGGCATCTGAGTACATTTCTTCAAGTGTTTTCTTACCTTCAAAAACCAACAAAATTATATTCATAATAAATTTTGCAGATCATTCCTGCCACATCCTACTTGGATATCATGCAATAAACAATGAATGGCAATTTCTGTTTAATTGCAATTAATTGGGATTTTACAAAACGTCTTGAGTAGGTGAAGAAATAAAGACTTTCTATGTACTATATCAAAATGTTCACAACTTGTCAAACTTTTCTTTTTAATGTTGGTTAGTCTATCTATGTGCGATTCTTATTTATATAACTTATGGTGGCGCTAATGTAAGAGAATTTGTTACTTTGTCCCAGTTCTATTTGCTGAATGATCAGATTTTTGTTCCTGAGGCAGATACAAGCATTGGGAAATTTCCCAGCCTCAGGAGAAACAGTTCTGACTGGATGGATCTTTGTTGTATGGGAAAGGAACACTTGCTGGGGTGAGGGGCGTAGTTCTGAAGTGACCTTGGTGTCTGCTGGGTGCTGAGACAGGCTATTTAAATGTTTTAATCAAAGCAGCCCTTGTCCCACTCACACACTGTCCATGCCAACTCAAGTCCAACCCACCCCCATGGCACCTTATATCTTCTATGTCAACCTATGCCCCTAAACCCCCTCCACCCACCCTTACATCCTCCATGCCAAATCACCAAGCACATCCATAGGTCAACCTCAGGTGCCATGCTTAGACGAAAATAAAACAAAGTCCTAAGTATTAATTGCAGAGTTCACTATATCAAAGAAAAGCTCTTGTTGATAAAAGACCATTCAATACATTTAAACCTCTTCAAATTCCCAGCCTCTTACAAAAACAAACATTCATATCCCCACATAAAATGCAGCTAATCCCTCCGTAACTCTGCAAAGCTGTTAATCATACTGTGAAATTACAGCCTTCCCCATCCAAAGTGATAATTATTAGTGTGGAAGCAGTCAAAAAGTAAAAACACTATAAGGATCACGCTCAGTCTTATGCCAACAAACTACTATCAAACTCTGAAGCACTGATTATTTTTCAACTTAGAGACAAATCAGGCTTTTTAAAAAAATGTGGCGATTCATATAACGTGACAGCTTGGCAGTTTCACAGACATGAACTCCCTTTTACACAAAACCAGGTCTACTCTTAAAAATTGTAAATCACACATTATGGGAAACAGACCTCACTCCAGCAAAATTGGGGTCTGTTTGCTTTAACCCATACATCCCACTGCCTTGCCCCCACCATTGCTACTGGATGAAGATTGAATCAATGAAAATGGGAGTAGGACTTCTGGATCTGGGCGACCAAGTTTCTTTAACCTTGTGAAAATTCAAACCATTGTGTCGAGGTTCAATTTGGTAAATTACATTTGTTTGATTCATTTTCAGGCACTTGTGTTTTCTGTACAAACAGTTTAGTAGTTGCAAGTAAGTTCTGCGTGCATTTTGTAGTTAAATATTCTTTCTGACTGCAGGGCTCCACCGATCATTGGTTATTTGCCTTTTGAAGTCCTTGGTACATCAGGTTATGATTATTACCATGTGGATGATCTGGAGCAGCTAGCCAGGTGCCATCAACAATGTACGTACCATTTGGGTGAGAAAAATGCTCAGAATTTTCAAAAATATTTGGAATTAAGCTGTTGGAACAGAAAATAATGTAACTCTTTCACATCTAAAAATGGACAAGAGAATTTTTAAAACATTACAAATATGCTTAACATATAGAGTTGAGTAAAAATGTATTTGAAAACTCCTGAGTCAGAATGAATCACATCCTTTTAATTAACTGCAAGCAATCTTATTCATCTTAGTTTTTGTTGAGTTACGTCTATTTTCATCAATCTCAGACTTCCAGTGGGGAGTCACATTAACAAGGAATGCTGGTCAGAGAGTCACTCCTACAGTATTGTGTCTTGAACTCCAATGAATGCTGCTTGTAAGTGCAATCCCATCATGAGCAAGAAGCATTAGTAAATTTTCTCTACAATGCTTAATTTAAACAATATTTGAGCAATATTTTCTCTACAATATGAAAGCATTCTGTACTGACATTTCCTCTGTAAAGTTGACTGTAGCCAATTAATGTTAATTTTTTTAAATTCCAGATCTACATACTATAAATGTTGTTAGACTATATATAGCAGCTTAAAGTTATATGCATTAAAATTAACACTCAAAAAGTAATTTTGTGGTTCAATAAAAACAACATGTGATTTATTACTTCTATATTTTTCATTTCAAAGTGAATAACAATAACTCTGTAATAATGTACACCGTATTGTTTAACACTACTTACCATCAATTATCAAATGAAGTCTGCTTTATTAAAGGAGAAAGAAAATTGTGGAAAATGCTTTATGTTCACACTATTGACTGGTATTGAAACAAAATATATGCAATATACATCCAAAATATTAACGTTTTAGCTGATATTTCTTCACTATAGCAACTACCAAATTGAGTCCCTTTTGCTGCCAGGCTACTCCAAAGATATTATCAATTGCCTCAATTGAAAGCAATAAGGGCCTCACTTTAAGATTGACCTGAAAGCCATACAAAGCTAATATACACTGGATTCTCAGAAAATAAACTACTAGTTAGTGAGGGACCATTCTTCCTCACTAGAATGTTCTCACAGATGGGATTCTTAGATCAGCTCTCGTTAGGGAGAAGGTCCTCTTTCATTGCTGTAAAACTCTATGATTGTATAACCCTAAAGATGTAAAATCTATTTCCTTTTTTGTGAGTAAAGAGATAACTACAGCTTTACTCTAAGAATAGCTACTTAGCCTCTGTGGAAGGATGATGTCACAGTGATGTCAGATCGCGTAGAACTGGAGCCTGAGCTTGTAAATTGCAGAAGATGCCCTCCTTTACCTTGCTTATCATTATGTTTAATTTAATGATATTGTTTTGGATCTTTCCTTGTTATTTACACACAATGTACTTGAATGTGAAGAAAGGTTGAAATTCCTTGGAAAATTCTGAAGACTGTCAATATAGCTTAATTAAAAGAACCATTTACTAAACTAACTAAAATTACACTTTGAGAAGCCTTCTTTTGTTCTCTAGAGAAACAAGGTCACAAGAATTCTCATCAAGTCAGGTCAGATTAAATCTTATCACTGCATTAAAATGTGTTAACATTGAGGTAACAAAATGGTATTGCAACATACAGCAAAATATGTAAAGCTCAAAATAACCATAATGGATTACAGAACTTAATCCCAAAGTCAGATGTGGGCTTGTTATACAAAACCTAAAATAAAAGTATCTCTTAGCATCTTCATACAGTAGTCTAAATCCAGATTAGTTTGGGCTATAAAAGCAAGTTGTGGTGTTTGTTTATATGATCTGAGGGCATAGGCACCTACCATGTAGTACACAGGAATGCATGCATTCAAAGACAAGGACCACGTATGTCTTTTAGGGTTTTTTAAGTAACCGCAATGAAACAGAATATAATGTTAATAACCCATTCACTTACCAAATGCGCAGCCAAACTATGACTAATAATCGAAACATAAACTGAATCCTACAGCATGGATTAATGGTTTGGATTAACAGTCCAAAGAATTTAAATTCCACATTAGCCGTTTCAGAAGTTAACTCAGTTAAATTTACCAGAAATAAAGAAAGGGTACAATTATAAAAAATGAAATTTGCCATAAGGCCTTTTGGGGTCACCATTATCCTTTAGGAAATGAATCCTTCTGTCCCTATGATCATACAAAAATGTTTTATTGAGGGAGACCCAAAATATGCAGGAAGGAGATTGATTCACCTTGACTTTGGACAGTAAGGCCAAAATCTGTCCTCATTCAGATGAATGTGGGTAAAACACAGAATTTATCTACTTCTGAATGATTATAGTGCATATTCCTACACATCCACTGCTGTTTTCCTCAACTGAAAGCTCCCAATGAGCTGTGCCCTCAGCAGGATGTGCCAGCAATGTGAAAGATGTTGCTTGCTTTTCCCTAAAGATAGACTGTTGTTTAACAGGAAGGTGGGAAAAATTGTGCTGCGATGGATGTTCTTGCAATTGAGTGCTACAGCACAAAGAAGAATCCTGACTGACCAATGTGGCACTGGGTGCTTTAATAATGCAGCTGGGAAGAAAGACCAGGGATCACCTGGGCCACCCTCATAAAGAATGAGAACAGGTGAATGGTAGGTCAACTCGTGGATTCTGGACCCAAGGACATTTTAACAATGCCACATAGATGGTGGTCAATGTTAGGGAAGACATTTTCACATGACTAATCCTTTTATCTGTCACACAGTTTAATGCACAACACCACCATTATTTAGCCAGCTACATTCCTTGGCACTCAGGACTTGTGCCTAACTATCAGATACTCCATCTTACTCTCTCTCACCTACCAATGTTGCCAACCTCATATCCCTCTTTTATTGCCTTCATATATCTCCTGATTCAGCTGTGGCCAATATATCACCGAAATACAGTGCTAAACAATTCTTGGCATTTCAAGTTATCTTAAAAAAGACACATCTTTTAAAAAGTTTTTTTTATATTTGTGCATAATAATGACATGCTAAAAAAATGTAGACATGCTTTTTGATTTTACAGTGATGCAATTTGGTAAAGGGAAGTCTTGCTGTTATCGGTTTCTTACTAAAGGACAACAGTGGATCTGGCTGCAGACCCGCTACTACATTACCTACCATCAATGGAACTCCAAGCCAGAGTTTATTGTGTGCACACACACATTAGTGAGGTAGGAAAAAGTTCATTGACTGGAAGGTGTAATAATGATGGAGAAAATTTCCTTTGGGTGTTACGTCTAATAAACGCCATAAGCAGGTAGACATTTTTGATATTTCCAGCAAAGTTGCCCATCAATTATTTTTGTATAATTCTTTGAATTTGGTAGAGATGTTGAACATAGGGAAACTATGCTTACAATATCCCTAACAATATCTCTGCCTGTGCTGGTCGCAAACAAAGCTTTTCACTGTACATTGGTAGATATGACAGTAAATCACATCAAATCAATTCAAACACAGAGACCAGAGTAAATGCCTATACCTGGTCATTAATTATAAAATAATTATTGATAATATTGAAATTATTCATAACATGGGGTCAAAATAACCAAAAACCTACAATTAGATCTAATTACAGTTGAAATAAGCAAGATTGTACACTAAAAGTGTAAGGAGTATTCACTTTGGAAAGTGAGTAACAGCAAAACCATACTGTCATCTTCCAGTGTAGCAGATATCATTGTACTAACATAACAGTGAAAGTTAGAGAAACATAACACAGTGTTAGTTGCACAGCAAGCAGTCTGTGTCTTGGCCTTTGATGTTCAAGGACACCTGATTCTGGGCACTTGTATTTTTTCAAGGTTGCTTATCAGTAAAGGTAGCCTGGTGAAATTGCTCAAATTAACCAGAGCACTAGACAAAATCAGTCATAAATGCTTTTTAGTAACTTGTTAATTAGAATATTTTCTTGATATTTTTCTTCTTTGTTTTTCTTGTCACAGACTGTGTGTTGGTACTAGCGCAGAAAGCAACTTTGTACAGTGGAATGCAGTTTGCAAGTAGCCAGCAAGCATTCAGCACTGGTTAACTGAGTTGGCTGGATGGCTGATCTGTTACACACAGTGATGGCAACAACAGAGGTTCAATTCTTGTACCAGCTGAGGTCTCCAGAAGTGCCGCTTTCCCAACCTGACTCCTTGCTTGAGGCTTGGGGGGCCCACAGGTTAAGCACACTAACAGTTATCTCTCTCCAGTGAGAGAGCAGCCTCTGAGACTGTGGCAACATTAATTGATTCCGAGCCTTCAACTCAAAAGAATGTGCTCCTTCTACTTTGCTGTCCATGTCTGCTTGCTGAATGGAATTATCAGCCTCAATGATAGGTAGCACTGGGATTAAAACCCGTGGTTTCTGATTGTAAAACAATCAATGAGTCTCTTGAGTTGATAGGGTAAGTTATGATTTGTATAACAATTCCAGCATCCAAGTTATATGTTTATTCAACCTTATTTTCATTGAGTTTTCTTTCCTTTTCATTGATTTCTTATAAAATCACCGCAGCTATGCAGAAGTTCGAGCACAGCGTCGAAAAGACATCAGTTTGGATGATAGCTCTGCAGAAGTTGTTGGTTCTTCGTTGCTTAAGGTAATAGGAAAGATTAATTTATTTACAGTTCTGGGAATGCTTTAAATGCCTGTTATTGTGAAAGATTCTGTAGCCATTTATGAAGGCCATTGTTAAGTCCATTTAATATTATTTGTGAACGTATTGAAAACAGTCACAGTTAATATTGCAGGTACCATACTGGAAAATAATGATTTGCGCATACCTGTCATATATTCTACTGTTATTGTTCTGTACAGGGACACAACTTAAGAATTGATACGCAGCAACACGTTGAGGTGCTCCCTGGCAGTCCATCACCTTCTTCTTCATCTCGGAGTTCACACAAATCATCTCATACCTCGGTGTCAGAATCTGCATGTAGGTGTCTTCTTTTTTCATGTTGACTTTGGAAACCTTAAGGATTAACTTTTCCATTTTGCGATGTTAGCTGCCTACACCTTTGGAAAATATCCATGAAGTAAAATTCGTAAAATGCTTCAAATAGGTGATCATGATGCTTTTCTTACATGGATTCTCCCCCCCCCCCCCCACCCCATTAATTATTGAATATCTATAATCAATGTATTAATCTGGTTCTGCTCAATTAGAAATTGTGTGTTGTAGCTTGTAGAAATTTTGACCATCTCTATAAATTCAAATTTCTTTCTCAGCAACACAAAGCAAACTACTGTCAGAGACCAGTGGTCCATCCTTGCAGACAAAAGCAACAGTACAACAAGATGTAGGAATTCAGCAGCATCCACCCACCAGCAGCCAGGTAGGGATTTGCTATAATGTAGTCACTTACATGCTGATAAATTACTGGTAATTAATGATAAATCCATTGTCATTTTAAAATGACCAAATTTAAATTGCTGGAGTGATAGAGGAATTTGCACAATTAGAGATTTTTTGCTGAATTCATGGTTAAAAATGTATCAGCACCTCCATTGACTAAGAATTTTTTTTTAGCATTACCTTTGGGGCCAGGAGAAGGAGTGTTAGATTCCACAAGAAAAGTTTAAATGTTTTGTTGCCTCCTGAAATTCCCACCTCAGTTTACACAAGTGCCACCAACTCTTCTTTTGCTACTTGCCAGTGACCTTATACCACTTGACATCTGTACTCCCATCCAGAAGATGGTGCTACTGCATTTGGGCCACCAACTAACACAGATGATGGTCTGAGATTTAAAATGTCCCTGGCTACATTTTGCCAAAATTAGGGAAGTTTGCTGATCACCAATGTCCTCACTCACCTAATTCCTACCACGAGTTAAAATCAGGGCATAATTTTAAAAATTTTCTCACAGAGTGTCATGAGTCTTTGGAATTTACTACTTCAAAAGACAGTGGAAGCAAAGTCTTTCAGTATTTTAAGGCAATGAAAGATAAATTCTCGATAAACAAGTCGGCAAAAGGGTATCGGCATAGTTGGAAGTGTGGAGTAATCAGAGCAGCCATAATCATATGAATAGTGCAAGAGGATTAAAGGACTGAGTGGCCTACACATGCTCCTAATTCATATATTTGTATATACGTTCATATGTATCAAATTACACAGACACACTATAATCACATAATGTGAAATAAAAATGGTCGTGGTTTCAGAATAATGAGACTATAAGTCTAAACTTATTATTTGAAAATTATTAATCTTTTATTGTCTGTATTTAATTGATTTCTGTTACAGAAATCCTATATTTATCTATCAGTTCACAAATAATTATTTGAGATTCATGACCTGTCAATTTACGCTTTCCTGCAAACTACTCACTGCTTTTGACACAGATTGACTTCAATAGAAACCCTTCACTATGTTGGATGAAATAGATGAATGCTGTTACAGTGGAATGCTCTGGCCCATTTTAGTCACTTCTTGTTCAGTTGTGAAAAACAAAGCCAATTGTAACCTTTCTTTTGCAGTCTTCTTTAATGTCGGAGCCATCTATTGATCTACTGTCACAGGAGTTGATGCCCCAGGCTACTGTGGTCAGTCAGCCTGCATCGATGGCACAGGTTAGAAAATAGCTATACTTCTATGAATATATGTCCTTCCGTTTCCCTAAAACCTGGTTCAGAATCTTCAAACAAATTGACAAATAAGACAAGCAGAAATTAACAACGCATGTCTAATGATACTTTCAAATTTAGAATTTTAACATTATTTATTTGATTTCTTGCTTGATTTTCAAGCTGCTTGCTTTATTCTCTGCCTTGACCTTGTTATTGTGAGAGTAGGCAAGTTATGTGCTCCCTGCCTCTTCCTGAGCTGTTACTCCACCATCTATTAGTTACTACATTCTGTGACTTTTTTAGGTTTATTTCTTCAATTCCTTTGTGGATTACCTAACCTGTATATGGACAGGATCTAAATGTCCTATTTTAAAATGTGATTGCACTTAGTGATATATCACAATGGAATGCCAGTACACCTTTAATTTTCTGTTTCAATTTTCTCTTTAAAAGGTCTGTATCAGCTAGAATTCCTTACTTGCAGACGCACAGACTTAAAGAAATCCAGCATGGTTTTGTTTAGATTAATGGCTGAAAATGTCCATCCTTTGGGCAGGCACTGAAAATAGAGGTACTGGCCAGATTCTGTTTTCCTATTATTAAATTCCATCAGGGTTGGGCAAGGCCAACCCCGAGAAACCATGCCTTTCACAAATATGATCAATTAAACTAGTTAGGCAATTCATGGAGAGTTCACGGAGGACCAGGTTAACATTTTGCACAGCCTGCACACTGGGCCGGGTGCAGAACAAGTGCTTGGAGAGAGCAGCACAGCACCAGTTATGACCATCCCAAGATATTTGGTGAGCCCCATAGAAGGGAGAATGTCTCAGAGGCAGTGGCACACAGGTGCCTTCACTGTACACACATCGTAGGGACAGTGATGACTGCTTGCTCAGGCAATGAAGAGAATGTTACTCTCCTAGTATCACAAGCAGAAAAGATCAAGGGACAGGCTTCCAGGCGTAATCGGCTCGACTATTGAAGAAATTTGTCACAACCTATCTTCAATGCAAAGGATGAAAACTGGCGAATGTATTTGGTGAAAGCAGCAGTTTTCTGAAGGACATCATTTGAAAGACAGAGATGGTTGTGTATGTCATTTGGTACTTTTCATCCACTGGAGAAATATTAAAGCAAACAGTAAGAGATGATCAATGAGTGGATGTGATAGCCAATAGGGTGGCACAGTGGCACAGTGGTTAGCACCGCTGCCTCACAACCCCAGGGACCCAGGTTCGATTCCAGCCTCGAGCGACTGTCTGTCTGGAGTTTGCACGTTCTCCCCGTGTCTGCGTAGGTTTCCTCCGGGTGGTCCGGTTTCCTCCCACAGTCCAAAGATGTGCAGGTTAGGTGGATTGGCCATGCTAAATTGCCCGTTGTGTTCAGGGAGGTGTAGATTAGGTGGGTTGTAGGGGGATGGGTCTGGGTGTGGATGCTCTGAGGTTCAGTGTGGACTTGTTGGGCCGAAGGGCCTGTTTCCACACCGTAGGGATTCTGTGATTCTATGACCTGTTGTCTATGGTTTTGGAGATACAATGGAAGAAGCCATCGCAAACCATGATCAGTGTCTAGTGAGACTGATAGAGACAGGTCATCAGACAAGCGTGAAGCTGCACAAGGAAACACTACAAGGGAAGATGGCTGAAGTCAAGTACGTTGTTCATATACTGATAGCGAAAGAACTTTGCCCTGATCCTCATAAAGTGTGACTTGCAGGAGAGATGCAGTGACAAGCAGATATGAAGGCAATTGAATCACTTGAAGGATTTTATATAGCTGAGTTCTTGCCCAATTTGTTGTCAAAGTGTGAACTTTTCTCAGAAGTTCATTGCAAAAGAATGTTCTGTTTTATTGGGCACAGAACAAGAAACAGTTTTCACTCACATCAAACAACTAGCATTGACAGCACCAATGCTGAGGTACTGTGATGTCAATGACCAAGTCACCCTGTAGTCAAACAGGATTTGTGCAACTCTCATGCAGCAAGGACAGTCATTTTCATTTATATCTGGAGCACTCACTGAACAACACTACCCTCAGGTTTAGAAGGGACAAGTTGGTGATGAAATCTGACCATTTCAAAGCCACTTCAAAGTATCTTTCCTAAAATGTTTCTGTTGCTTCAAAGCTCTGCAAAGAATATTATGTAGTTTGCAATGATACAATTAGGAAGTGAAGAACAAGCAAGGGAAGCAGGTTACCTTTTTGACATGCTGAACTCTCTTTGAAAGAGTTGATGACATTAGCGTAGAATGTGAAGAGTGTAAAGTGCATTGAGTGCATCATAATATGCTCTTCAAGTCATCAACACAGCAAAGGTATTGAATCTGACAAACAAGCATCTCGCAGATCGTGCAAACTGTGCAAGCAGATGAAACCCTTCAAGTGCTACCAAAAACTTAAAGAATGGCTTGACACCATCAAAGGCACCCTTCTTACAATAAAAAAGTATTGAGCATACAAACATCAAGTGTTGCATAGGATGGCATAATTTATAAAGAAACTGGAGTCATTATCCTGAAAAAGATGCAAAGAAATGCTGAGGTGCATCCATGCAAGGTTTAATAAATTAAATTTAATCTAAGGAAGGCAAGAGAAGTACTCTGTTGACCAAACATGAGAAATGAGATTATGGTTCACATTACTGGGTGCAGTGCTTGTTAAGAAAATCAAGCCAAGCAAGTTACAGAGCTGTTCATGACTCATGGCATCCCTGGCAAATGAAAATGGGTTAGCCTGGAAAGGACAAATCGTTTTCATTTATGCAGATGGTCTTCTTTATAAGAACGTATGTGGGTCACTTGGAACTGCAAATGGTGGTGCAACTTTTTTTTTCTACAAAAACAAGGATGTTCGGAGAAATGCCTTTGTGCTCTATGGCTAATGCACATGTGTGCATGTGACCTCTGATGTTACTTTTAAAAAAATGTTTTAAGACAGTCACAATTTTTACAAACCAAGTGGAACGTTAACCATCAAGTTGCATGCCGAGGAGAACTAATTTCCTCTTCGAAGGGATGGAACTCATGGAAAGTTTATGACCAAGGGGTTGCTAGAATGGGCCTGGCTGCTGGAAGTCATTATTTTGAAGAGGCTTTCAAAAAGCACTAGAACACTTGTCCTGGTGTGTCAGGAAGAAGGGAGTCTGCTGAAAAATCAGGAAGAGTGAGATTAAGCTACAAGACTACATATCTGCTGTGAACATAATATAACATACAAATGGTTCTTGACATAATTTTGCATGAGTTATTAGTTTTCAATTTTCTGTTTTGTACTTTGGTACATTAGTTGTTTATTAAGTGATGTTTGGTCCTTGTTGATTTTTAGCTTGCTTTTTACAAAAAAAGTCATAAGACATGAAATCTTTTCGTCAGTTGGTGGGAATATATATATATATCTCTTCTTAAAAGTTATTGTTCTGAACTGAGTTCATAACAGTAATGACTTACCCTTTATGTGACCCCGAGATGGAACCACAGAGACATGACAAGTGAAAGCATCTGTTCACCACGATTGCCAATGAGCATGCCATTGGGCTCCATTGAGATGGTGGTTAATCTCATGGACAGCTATATATGACAGAACCCACTTGGACGGCCCTCCCTTCACAATTGATAGCACCAACCAAGGACTTAGACAGTTACCAAGGATGATGAGGGTACCCCCTGCCCCACCTTTCGCAGGACACACACTTCTCCCAAGTTCAGGAACAGCTCACACCCCAGGCTCCTCAACTAGTGTGTCTTCTGGATGTTGAATACTCACACAAGGCTTATCCTGATGATCTGAGTAAAGAAAGTAATTAAACCTTTCCCTGCACTGGATACAGTTTGTACTGACCATACTTCAGGTGTGCCTGTAATATAGTACTCTCTGCATCTCCTCTGGAACACTTGGCACACTGGTCCTGGCGTCATTGACATTTAATGGCAGGCACAGTAATGAGGTACTTAAATTCAGCCTGCCCTTTCTCAGACCTGTTTCTGTTCCTGTCCCGATAACCACTAATTAACCATCCAACCTACTTTCCAACCAATTAACAGTTTTCCTCTGTCAAAATAGGAAATAATAACTGCTTCCCCCATTACACTCAACAGTGTTTTGGCTAATAATCTGGAATGATCCTTAAGTTGATTTCTTGATTTTGAAAGGATAATCTACCCCGTTTTTGAAAGGATAATCTACCCTGTTTTTCATTTACACAACTCTGAATGGTAGAAAACTTTAATTAAGTATGAATAGTTCTGAAGGAAAGGTCTTGCATTACATAAGTGATGCTTGATTATTATATTTAGTTTGATAATTGCATTTAGACACGACTGTTCACATCAGTTGTATCGAATTTACTGTTCAGCATTTGTAAAATTACCTGTTGTTATTCAAACCAGTTCCCAGCACAGTTTGACGTGATTCAGTCTCTCAAGGATCAGCTTGAACAACGTACCCGCATTCTCCAAGCAAATATCACATGGCAGCAAGAAGAACTACAAAAAATTCAGGAGCAACTGTGCATGGTGGATGACTCAAATGTACAGGTAAGAATATACAACAAATGCCTGAAACATATTGGCAAATCATTAAAAGGTGGGATGTTTCAGGGTTTAATTTTGTAGTCCAAAAGGTATTCAGCCCTTTCCTATTTCAAGATCCATTTTTTGCCTAAATTCTGAAAAAAAAGCAAAATAATATTAATAACTTTGAAAGTCAGGACAGAATAATTTCTTTGCGAGTGGAGTTTCTCAGGTGCTTCAGCGTCCTGTTTCTGTTGAAAATAACGAAGACTGAAAAATTATTGCATAAGATGTCAAATAAACTGTCAGGAAGAGTGACGCTGACTTTCTGAGAGTTTGACCTTGAAATATCTAGCTACAGAAATACAGGTTTCTTGCTGGAACCTCAGATAAACTGGTGCTGTTGTGTTTATGCAGGTAAAGGTAAATCATTAAAATGTGGTGTGTCAATTTAAGCAATCTAAAAGTCACACTCAGGATGTTTACAACAAATTACCAACAAAATGCCATCTGGACACTTACAGTAAACTGTAAAATTCATGCCACACAGATGCCAGGCAATGACCATCTCCAATCTGATTGTCAAGAGACAATCTGACCAGTGCACCTTGACATTCAATGGTGTTATCATCAGTGAATCCCCCGCTATCAACATCCTTGGGGTTATCATCAACCAGAAACTCAATTGGATTTGCCACATAAACAAAGTGGCTACAAAAGAAGATCAGAGGTTGGGAATCCTGCAGTGAGTAATTCACCGCCTGACTCCTCAAAATCTGTCCACCATCTACAAAGCACAAGTCAGGACTGTGATGGAATGCTCCCTACCTACCTGAATGGGTGCAGCTCCAGCAGTACTTGACACCATCCAGGTCAAAACAGCATGCTTGATTAATACCATATCCACAAGTATCCATTCCCTCCACCACCCTCCAGTAGCAGCAGTGTGTACTATCTACAAAATGTACTGCAGAAATTCACCAACAATTCTCAAATAAAACCTTCCAAAGCCACAACCACTTTCACCTAGGGTATAAGTTCAGCAGATATGTGGGAACACCACCACCTGTAAGTTCCTCCCAAACCACTAACCATCCTGACTTGGAAACATATCACCATTCATTCACTGTCGCTGGGTCAAAATCCTGGAATTCCCTCCATAAGTGCATTGTGGGTCAACCTACAGTTTGTGGACTGTAGTGGTTCAAGACAGCAGCTCACCACCACTTTCTCAAGGACAACCAGAGATGGGCAATATGTGTTGTGCAGCCAGTGACACCCACATCCCACAAGTGAATAAAGAGAAACATTTTGCAAAGACTATGCAAGACACAAGTTAGACCACTCCTGGAATACTGTGAACAGTTTCAGGTCCCTTGTGTAAGGAAATATATATTGACATTGGAGGCAGTCCAGAGAAGTCACCCTAGGCTGATCTTCGGTATGGAGGGTTGACTTATGAAGTGAGGCTGAGTGGCATGGGCCTGTACTCACTGGAGTTTAATGGAATGAGAGAAGACCTCACTGAAACATAGAAAATTCTTACGGGACTCAACAGAGTTGTTGAAGAGTCAAGGGCAAGAGGGCATAAACTCAGAATAAGGAGTTGCCCAGTTAGAACATCTCTCAGAAGGTGATGAACTGTGGATTTCATTACAGCAGAGGGCTACATAGGCTGGGTTGTGAAGTATACTCAAAGCTGAGATAAATTTTTCATCAGTAACGGATTCAAGGCTTATGAGGAAACAGCAAGAAAGTGGCATTGAAAATTATAAGATCAACCATTATCTCATTGAATGGCAAAGCAGACTCAATGGGATGAATAGCCTATTTCTCTGTCTTATGGTTATCTCTTAGTCGTTTTCTGCCACTCTTTATGCTCTGGCCAATCATCTTTGTGTGATTATATGATTTTCTTCCCTGAAGTTTGACATTTTCCTTAACTTCTTCTTAACTCCTTAACTGCCCTCCCTTTTGAAATTTTTATTTTTATTTTTATTCCTTTGTTCTGTCATGGAATGTGGTTGTCACTGTAAAGGCCAGCATTTTTTGCCCTACCCTAATTATACTTGAACTGAGTGACCTGTTACACCAGTTGAGAGGACAGTTAAAAGTTGACCACATTGTGGGTTTCGCATCACATGTAGGTCAGACAGGGTAAGGATGACAGATTTGCTTTCCAAGAACATGAGTGAACTAGATGTTTTTTTTTCTCCCTGACTATCATTGATTACATGGTCGCCATTAGACTAGCTTTTATAAATTCCCCAATTTTGTTGAATTCAGATTTGATCATCTGCAGTGGAGAGATTTTTTATTCTCTCACAGTATGTGGATTTTACTGGCTGGGCCAGAATTTGTTGCCCATCCCTAGTTGCCCTTGAGAAGCTGGTGGTGAACATTAGCCTGGATTACTAGTCCAGAGTAGACTAGTACATTACCAGTATACCATCACCTCCTCTGAAATATCTACTGTATTTGCTTTTCTACTGATGTATCCCATTGCCCAGTGTCCCTGTTCACTTCAGATAGTTCAGTTTTCATGCCCACATAGTTTCCCTTATTATTTATCCTGACCTCACAATCAAGAGATTTGAATTTGAAATTTCATATTAAGTTAATCTATATTCCATTTCTGAGCTCAATTTACCCCTCTGTTGTCATAGGGCTGAGTAATTCAGACTGGATCCTTGGCTAGGATTTTGGGAAATTGTCTATTGGAATTTTCCAGAAAGTCTTGGGGTTGGAGCTGAGAGCATGAAAGCATATACATCTCAAGCTCAGCAGGCAGATGAAGATAGACTCTGCTATGAGCAGAAGAGAAGCTGTAGATGTGAAGCAAAAGGGCTGTCAGGGGTATTTCTGATTTGGAGCTCTCAGCAAGAATACAGTGAAGCTTTAAGTTTGAGCTTAGAACTCTGCAGTCATGAGGCTTCAAAGGAAATTTGGACAATTGCTTCACCAAAAGCTTGTGGAAGGATCCCCATGAAATTTCATGCCTCAGAGAATAGCTGGAACACTGAGAAAAAAAATCGAAGGGAATTTTGGAGGACTATGGCAGACATTTAGGTCGATCCCAGAAAAAGTAAATGGCTTCTTATCAGGCTTTTGTAGGTTCAAAAACTTTTATGGGGGAGTTGCAAGGAAAAAGGGAAGGTTCAGTTGAGAATATTAAACTGAAGTATACGTGATCGTGCTTTATTATCTACCATACTCATCCAGACAAGTGAAGAGTATCCTATCTCACTCCTAATATGTACCTTGTGATATATGTAATTTCTTGTGATTTTCACAGTGTGGCACTGTGTCTGGATTGAATGTAGTTATGTTATTGAAATTTCTGATTCTAGTCATCAGGTAGTAGAGTGGGGGAATTTGTGACAGTGTTATTGGCCCTACCTGACACCCAGGATGAATGGGTTCAAGTCCCACCTGCTCCAGAGGTGTATGCTAGTGTCTTTGAACAGGTTGATTAGAAAATCTTGCAGGAACACAGTAGAAAGCTTCGCTTTCTGAGTGACAGTTTTTTTTTATCATCCACGATACAATGTATGAAATTGCAAACCAGTTTTACAGAAACATGTTTATGAGTCTGTTACACATGGCACACAGAGGAAGTGCATAACCTGAGAAATTAGAATCTTGCCCTACAAAAATATAACAAAAATTACCATCTTAGCTGACTTCTGTTAATATCCGTAACAGCACTGTGGGGTGTGCTTACACCATATGGACTGCAGTAGTTCAAGAAGGCAGCTCATCACCACCTTGTCAAAGACATTTAGAAATGGACAAGATAGCTGGCTGTGACACATTTCACAAATGGAACAGAAAATTCAAATAGGATTTAAGATCTAAAAATCACAAAAATATGGTTCTCATAGCTCAGTCCTTTGAGTTTAGGAGTTGGGACATTACGTTGAGGTTGTATAGGACATTGGTGAGGCCTCTTCTGGAATACTGTGTCCAGTTCTGGTCGGCCAGTTATAGGAAGGCTACTATTAAGCTGGAGAGGGTTCAGAAGAGATTTACCAGGATGTTGCCAGTTATGAAAAGCTTCAGTTATAAGGAAAGGCTGGATAGGCTGGGATTTTTTTCACTGGAATGTAGGAGGTTGAGAGGTGACCTGATAGAAGTTTATAAAATAATGAGAGGTACAGATAGAGTTGATGGTAGTTGTCTTTTCCTTAAGATGGGGAATTTCAAGACCGGGGGCACATTTTTAAGGTGAGAGGAGAGAGATTTAAAAAAGACAGAGAGGTAAATTTTTTACACAGAGGGTGGTTTGTGTGTGGAATGAACTTCCTGATGAAGTGGTGGATGCGGATACAATTACAACGTTTAAAGGACATTTGGATAAGTACATGAATAGGAAAGGTTTGGAGGGACACAGGCCAGGAGCAGGCAGGGGAACAATTTAGTTTGGGATTATGTTTGGCATGAACTGGCTGGACCGAAGGGACTGTTTCTATGCTGTATGTCTCTATGAACCTATGGTTGAACATCTTTTTTAATGTTTGTTTTTCCTCCTTTCAGTTACTGTTGCAGCAGCCAGCATCTATCAGCCTGAGTCCATTACAGTTTCAAGAATCACAGCAGCAAAAGCAGCAACAAGTGGGTCTTATATCGCAAGACCGGGATCTCCCCAGTAAACAGTTCCAGGTACCAATAGGATCAACATAATAGAACCAAGTATAGTCACAAACCAATGAAAGTATTAGTTTCGAATATGAAAACATAAAATGTTGGAAACGCCATAGCAGATCCATCATTGCGCTAGACTCTTCATTAGGAATGGGAAACTGAAAGATAAGTGGTAAGTTAGGGCTGAACAAAGCAATAAAACTATGAATCCCTTTAGACTGGTGATTTTGCTATACATAGGCCTTGTAAGGATTCTTCCGTTCACATGGAGAGAAAAACACAAGACAAATAAATGCAGTTAGCAAAGGTGACTGTGTAAAGTTTACAAGATATTAACTGAGCAGTTTATTGACGGTGGTCTGGAGGATGTAGGAGGTGGTACCCTCACCAGCACAATCTTTGAGAGCCCCGAGAGAATTAAATCCCCAGTTGGGAGTGAGAGACCTGTGCTGAGCCTCCGGACTCCACAAGAGACAGTTCATTCCAGAACATTCCCAGCTGGGCATAAATCTCGCCCTCCTCTCGGCCAATCAGAGGGCAACAGTTCTCCATTGCCATCTGCGCCATTGGGATAGTGACTGCTGCAGTAATGCATTTGGGCTTTCACTAAGGATCACTGTTGCATCTGTGGGGAAAGATGAGCCGGGGTGAGCTGGTGGGTGTGGAGAGGGCACCACTGACAAGGTCAGGGAAGATTTTTGGAAGGTTAGCAGTTTAGCTCTCAGCAGCTCCCTCTCCCCAATCAGGCCCTGAGTACCTTTGAACAAGGACCTCCACAGTATGTCAGGGCTTCCCTGAATGGCAAATACCATCTATCACAGTACGATGAGGCACTTAAGTTAATTACTGCCATTAATTCTCATTTAAGGGCCTCAATTATCATCCAAGCAGGTAAGCCATCCTCCGTCTGTCACATCCAGAATGAATTTCCAGGGAGGTAACAGGAGATTCATCTTTCAGATTAATGCTTTTTTCAAATTGATCAAATAGCATCGTTGCGTCTGTACTCACCTCCAGATTCTGCCTGAGCTTGTGCTCCTTCTAATCCAGTGTTGTAAGTGTCAGTATTGTTGGGTTAGTTACATAGCTTTTGATTTCACACTGTTGCTATATGCTCATGCAGAGGGTATCCAAGGAACAAAAAGGATTCAGTGTTACACTGTCTGCCTTGGTCAGCAGTTTGTTGTTACGAATATGAGCGAGTTGACTTCAAGAGCTATTGCCATCTTTCTCCACGTGGCATGAAAAAGGTTATTTAAAAGCATCCATTCACTCAAACCTAGAATTCTCTCTCCTCAGGTTGATCAAATCAAGGAGAGTTTGGCAGTCAGTCTCACTGAAATTTTGAACTTTTACTCTGCCTGTCTACAGTTTGCATGAGGTGCTTCAGTGAAAAGTATTCTTAAAATGTTAGGCAAATTGTCAGGAGCTATCCAGTACAGTTATCTCACAGTGAAATTTTTCACTTCCATGTTTGTTACTCTGGTTGCTGTGGCTACAACTTCTGGAACATAATAGAATAGAATCCCTACAGTTTGGAAGCAGGCCTTTCGGCCCATCGGGTCAGCATCGACCCTCCGAAGAGCATCCCAACCTGACCTACGCCTCCCCCCCACCCATTGCTATCCATGTAACCCTGAATTTCCCATGGCTAATCCACCTAGTCTTCACATCCCTGAACACTATGGGCAATTTAGCATGGCCAATCCACCTAACCTGTGCATCTTTGGACTGTGGGAGGAAACCAGAGCATCCGGCAGAAACTCACACGCACACACAGGGAGAACATGCAGACTCCACTCAGACGGTTACCCGACCCTGAATCAAACCCAGGTCGCTGGCGTTGTGAGGCAGCATTGCTAACCACTGAGCCACCGTGCCATCCCTAGTTAGACTCACCAATGGTTTTTCACAAACTACCATATTACATGAGGCTTAAGCTGGCAATATTAGAGTGCTTGAGATGAATAGAATTGATGTATGTCAGGGAAAACAAGGTAAGCCCATGGAGGAGAAAGGAATCAAGGGATAAACTGATGCAGAAATGTGAGAGGAGGTTTGCCTGGAACATTAACATTGACATAGACCTTGGGACAAGCAGCTTAACTGTGCTGTAAGATTTGGTATAATTCTATATTATGGATACGCAAATGAGCTGATTCACAAGCTTCTGGAAGTTTCAGCTTTCTGAGCATAATTAGGTGCAAATACAACACAACACACCACATGAAAATTTGAGAGATGCCTATCTAGGTCTGTGATATTGCTGATACAATTATTTAATGCATTTCACACTAAACAGGGTTTTATTTGCTAAACAGAATATTTGGACTTGATTTTCTTGCTCAACAAGACGTTTTTAATGTTTTTGTAGAATGCTAAGATGATACATGCTGGACGTGTGGTACAGACCTCCCTGCCCAATTTGTCCTCTGCGAGCCTGGCATTACATTTCAGCAGTCCTGTGATGTTCTCTCAGGCCCCGACAATGGCAATCCAAAGTGATGGCACCATTGGTCATTCAGGTCCTAACTTCGGTCATGACAGGCAACTAAGGTAGTAGCAACTTTATTTCATAAGTTACAATGAATGTATGAATAATAAGCTTAAAGAATTAACTTTAGGAAGATATTTCTTATCTACCAGAGTTGTCTATCAGAAAAACATGAATTTTAGTCATATATCTGGCATTTAGATGGTAATTGTGATGGGAAATGCCAGTGTTGAACTGGGATGGAAAGGTCAGAAGTCACACGACACCGGCTTATGGTCCAACAGGCTTATTTGAAATCGCAAGTTTTCAAAGCACTGCCCCTTCGTCAGGTGAGGTGAGGAGAGGCACACAGGCACAGAATTTATAATCAAAGAGATCAAAAGGTCGTACAAATGGTGTGAGTGGAGTGTCGACAGGCCAAATAATAAGTCTCTGCAGGGGATCAAGAGTGTCAGATGGTGTGTGTGAAGTGTCAACAACTGAATTGCAATTGAAGGGATGACCTATTATCTGATTAATTGAGACAGAGAGATAATTATAAAAAATTAAAACAAGGTGGTGCCGGAGACAAACCAAATGACTGGAATAACATCGTTGTTACAGTGTGGTGCTGGAGGAACACAGCAGGTCAGGCAGCATCAGAGGGGTAGGAGGGTCGATGTTTTGGGCCTAGACCCTTCATCAGGACTGCTATCTCTGTCTGGAATAACATGATGAGTATAAGAGTTGCATGCCAAGGGTCTAACCAAAGTAAGAAGTAATCCAAAGCTGTACAAACTAATTAAGGTAAGGTGATGGTGTCAAAAGAAAACAGTAAGGAATATTTACAGATACACAACAGTATGGTGGGCTCATGGTGTATTGGTGAGACCATGCAGACGCTACAACAATGGATGAACAGACACCATGCAACAATCAGCAGACTGGGATGTTCCCTCCAAGTTGGGGAACACTTCAGCAGTCAAGGACATTCAGCTCCTGATCTTTGGATAAGCATTCTCCAAGACCGCCTTTGCGATACACAACAACACAGAGTCGCTGAGCAGAAACTGATAGCTAAGTTCCGTACCCATGAAGACGGCCTCAGCTGTGATCTTGGGTTCATGTTGCACAACAGATAACCCCACCATACTGTTCTGTATCTGTAAAATCTTCCTAGCTGTCCTGTTTTGACACTATCACCTTGATAACTTGCTATGATCTCTCTACCTTAATTAGTTTGGATTACTTGTTACTTTGGTTAGACCCTCAGCATGTGACTCTTATACCTATAATGTTATTCCAGTCATTTGGTTTGTCTCCAGCACCACGTTAGTTTCAATTTTTTGTAATTATCTCTCTGCCTCAATTAATTGGATTAAAGGTCATCCCTTCGCTTATTATTCAGCTGTTGACACTTCACACACACCATTTGACACTCTTGATCCTCTGCAGAGACTTATTATTTGGCCTGTTGACACTCCACTCACACCATTTGTATGATCTTTTGATCTTTCCATTTATAAATTCCGTGCCTATGCACCTCTCCTCACTTCACCTGACAAAGGGGCAGTGCTTCGAAAGCTTGCAATTTCAAATAAACCTGTTGGACTATAACATGGTGTGGTGTGACTTATGATGTTGGCATTTAGCTGGCAGCTAATTAGAATGTTTCCCTTTTACTTCTGGAATGAAAGTTTCAGTCATTAACCTCTTTGGTTTCAATGCCAATTTTCAGTGGTTAAGGTTTAATAGCACAAAACAGACCAATGTTTCAGGGAAAGTTGCTAATCTCAGTAAATATAAGGCCAAGTTTGCAATTTAAAAAAAAGCTTTCACTGGTACAGCAAAAGTGATTTTTTGTGTCATTTCAAACATGATGCTGGGGGAGATAATAGGGTGTTTTATGTTGTATCTAGTTGCTCTATCTGTCTTCTGTGAATGATTGATGCTGATACATTAGCCAAAAATAGAAAGTACTTTCCTGGTACTTTAACTCAATTATCACATAATTGTGAAGGGAAAATATGAATTGAGTTTTACTTTTAGAAACAAAGGAGCAGAGAGACAGAATGATTAGTCACCCTCCATCACCATTGGTTACAATAACTAATCGGTACCAGTCATGATCTCTGTTGCCAGAGGGGAACCCATGAATGTAATGGAGCAAAATCCAGTGATCTTTCTGCACAAGTGCTGCAACAGCTTCCAACTGAGGGAGAAATTAAACAGGGAGAAATGCCCTAAAGAGGAATGGACCTGCAATCATTGCAAGTGTCGGCAGAAAGGTCTGCTACATTGGTTAGGGGAAATCAAAGCATTTATTACCACTGTGCTGCGCCACATCAGTCTTTGGGAAAGCAATAACAGAGGCAGACAGGAGCAAGGATGCCAGGTTCCCACTGACATTAGCTTAGAGTGGGTTGGGAAAAGTGCAGTCAGAATGTAGCAGACCTATCGCAAATGTGGAAAGGGAAATTGAGTTGATGTGACTGTCAGCGTAGAACTCAATATCTGTTTTCTTCCACAACCCTGACCACTTTTAGGCAGTATAACAAAGGACTATCCAACCTTCCAAGTTTATTATTAACATAGAAAAATGTCAACTGCTAACAGTGAAGTGCTATGTTTGTAAGGCTAATGGTACAGTGACACAACTCAGTGAATATCTTTTGGATATTTGTATTCTACTGTTCATTTCTTCCGCTCCTGAAGTTGCTGTGCCAGAAGAATGATCTATTGTGCCACAAATCTGATATCCTATCAATTCTAATGTGATAAAAAAATGTAGTATCGTGAATTAGCACACCATGAATTTTCTACAGTACTAATACTTTTTCCACACCATACATCATACATCACCATTCATCAGAGCGGCTGGTACAGTAAAGAAGAGAGCAAGTTAAATAGTCAAAGTAAGCAAGAGCAAGGTAGAGAATGAGGTAGGACTGATAAATTAAACTGCATTTATTTTAATGCAAGCGGCCTGACAGGTAACTTAGATGAACTCAGGACATGGGACTGGGATATCATAGCTATAACAGAAACATGACTCAGGAAGGGCCAGGACTGACAGTTTAATGTTCCGGGGTATAATTGCTGTAAGAAGGATAGAAAGAGGGGCAAAAGAAGAGGGGGAATGGCATTTTTTGCTTGGGGATAACATTACAGCTGTACGTATTCCCGGGAAAATGTCCAGTGAAGTTATATGGGTGGAACTGAGAAATAAGAAAGGGATGATCACCTTATTTGGATTGTACTATAGGCTCCCCAATAGTCAGCAGGAAATTGAGAAGCAAATTTGTCAGGGGATCTCAAATATCTGTCAGAATAATAGGGTTGTAATGGCAGGAGATTTTAACTTTCCAAATGTAGACTGGGATGCCGTAGTATTAAGGGCTTGAATGGAGAGGAATTTGTTAAGTGTGTACAGGAAAGTTTTATTATTCAATGTATGGATGTACCTATTAGATAAAGAGCACAACTTCACCTTCTCTTGGGAAATAAGGCAGGGCAAGTGACTGAGGTGTCAGTGGGGGAGCGCTTTGGGGTCAGTGACCATAATTCTATTAGTTTTAAAATAGTTATGGAAAAAGATGGACCTGATCTAAAAGGTTTTAGAGTAGATTTGTAGCTTGGGTTGTAGCTGTTGTGGTTGATTGGCTCGCCGAGCTGGCTCGTTGTTCTGCAGACATTTCATTACATCATCAGTGCAGCCTCCGATGAAGTGCGGTTGTGTTTTCCCGCCTGGTATTTAAACGCTGCTGTCCATTGAGTTGGATTACCTGATTTCTGGTTTTCCTTCGCTGTGGAGTATATATAAGGTCTAGCTCTAAGTGTTTGTTGATGGCCTTCTTAGTGGAGAACCAGACCTCTAGGAATTCCCGTGCTTGTCTCTGTTTGGCCTGTCCTAGGATCCTGGTGTTGAGTCCGAATCAAGCTGGTGGTTTTCCTTATCCATGTGGCTGGAGATGAGTGAGTATTGGTCGTGTCTTTTTGTTGCTAGTTGGTGTTCAGTTCCTAGAGGCCTGGAGCATTAGAGGCTGAGGGCTGAGCTTATAAAGGTTTACAAAATCATGAGGGGTGTGGATAGGGTGAACAGCCAAGGTCCTTTTCCCAGGTTAGGAGAGACCAAAACTAGAGGGCATAGGTTTAAGACAAAAGGGGAAAAATTTAAAAGGGACCTGAGGGGTAACTTTTTCACACAGATGGTGATGCCTGTATGGAATGAGCTGCCAGAGGAAGTGGTGGAAGCTAGTACAATTACAACATTTAAAAGACTTCTGGATGGGTACATGAATAGGAAGGGTTTAGAGAGATGTGGGCCAAATGCTGGCAAATGGGACTAGATCAGTTTAGGATATATGGTCGGAATGGACAGGTTAAACTGAAGGGTCTGTTTCTGTGCTGTATAACTCTATGACTCTATGAAGAATATATGAACCTGAACAAAGATGTCTCTATCAGCAGCCAACTGAAATTCATTCTGATATACTTAGAAATCAGGTTTTGCTGTAATCGAACTCGAAACACTGGCTGTTCAAGTGATTGGGCCAGAACTTTTTGCCAAAATAGTAGTGTGGCTAATGATGATCACTATTATTTATGCATAAGTTATACAGCAACTTCAGTAAAGGAGCAAATGCGCAGCTAACTACAAATATTGAAAAGTGACTTGTTACCATTAAATTTATAAAATCAGCATTTCTTTTGCTGCCTCATGTTTGAAATGTATTGAAAATGATGCAGTTGTTTTATTTTTATAGAATAGAATCCCTACAGTGTGGAAACAAGCCCTCTGTCCCAACAAGTCCACACTGACCCTCAGAGCATCCCACCCAGGCTCATCCCCCTATAACCCACCTAATCTACACATCCCTGGACACTATGGACAATTTACCTAAACTGCATATCTTTGGACTGTGGGAGGAAATCGGAGCACCTGGAGAAAACCCACGAAGACACGGGGAGAATGTGCACACTCTACACAGACAGTCACCCGAGGCTGGAATCGAACCTGGGTTCCTGGTGCTGTGAGGCAGCAGTGTTAACCACTGAGCCACTGTGCCGCCCCCAATTTAGATACAAAATAAACCCATTGCAAAGATTTTGGACTAGTAATTGCAAGTTAAAATACCCTTCTTGCCTAGAAAAATTACAAGTAAGCAGCTCAATTTCTTAAAACTGTTGGAGATTTTAAAAATACCAAATTTAACTTTTTCATTAGCTTTCCTTTTCTATCTCATTTTCTCTCTAAATCTAGTTGTTTCTTTTCCTCTCTTTAATCCTCTTTCTGCATCTGATTTGACATTGAGTTTGCCTGCACTAATTTACATTACTGTCTCAGTCATTGAGCTGTTTATTTCACAATCTTTCATTTGGATTGATTGAGGACGCACATTTCCTTCTCCAGTTCACTTAATTCCCAAGTGTATATTGCTTTTCACCGTGCTGCCATCAGCTTGCATTTCCATCACTTGAGATGCAAAACCTAAATGCACATGAGATTGGAGAGGTAATGCCGTCAAGACTGTGCCCACCAAGACTTTGCCTTTCCCAAGAGTCCATAACAGATCTTTCTGCCATGATAAAGAACAAGGTGAGCTCCAGTTTTATTGGGTGGTCATCATGGCCCAGAATTCCAAGGATCCATTGGAGACACTTGTGGTATTTCCCAAAAAGCCACACATTACTGCATCAGCGTGGTGGTGGAGTCCCTGTTCAGAAGGGCCAGGCAGTAGATATACTGTCAAACTGTTGAATGGCCGTCAAGCTGAGCGAGCCTAAAGAATGGGCGCAATCGCTGGACTCCCCCAGATGCGAGATGTCGTGGACCATATGCATATGACCATCAAGGTTTACACAGAACAGCTAGGAGATTTCATTCACCAGAAGGAATTTCATTCTATCAGCATGGAATTGCTTTGCATCATTGGCCAGTTATGAGCTCATTGTCCTTGCAGATGCACTTACACACTCAAGCACTCCCACTTAATTCCAGAAATGCTATAAGGCAGCTCAAATTTAATTCAGCCGTCCTTGATTCAGCTTTAACTTCCTTGTAGAGGGTTCATGTTTTAACGTACACTTTATCTGTTTATAATAAAAGTTTTAAAGAGAATTTTAATTAGGGAGAAACCACGAGAAAAATCCCGCAAAGCAAATTCAAGCCATGTGAATCCCATAATAAGATTTTTATTGTAATGTGCTACAAACACCCTGCACCAGAAAACAAAACATGCAAACTGAGATTTGGAAAGCTGCCATAACAGTTGCAGGCTAAATAAATTGTTAGGCAAAGGCTGTTCTGTTGATGCCTATGAATAGATTTATAAGTCAGCCTATTTCTGGCATGAAATCCTGGAAGAAAAATCTGCATTCTATGAATGTTATCTCAGCTGCATGAATATATTAGTATGAGGTTCTCACTATTTCTGAAAGGAGCTTTCTGAGACAGATATTTTGTCCATAGATTAGATTGTGTAAATATTTTTCGTTCATGTTTCTGGCCAGTAACTACCATTTGTGGAGCATAACCAATGTGTTCTTTCATCTACTGCAATATGGTGATTTAATTTCCTTTGAAAATTAACTGCAGTCTGAATGGGACTTAACTTCAAACTTAGATATATCATATTCACATTAAGTTGACCAATCTCACAAATGTAATCCACTGATATTTCTAGACTCGGAGGGAATACCTAAGAATAGGATGCATGGATTAACATTTGCAAGTAGGCATTAAGCACATATATTGCTTTTAAGCACAACTTATTGATCAATTGCAATAGGGATCAAATACATTCTTGTTGTAGTAAGTGCTAATGTGAAAATGTGAGTTTTTTTCATGGTTTGCATTTTTCTTTTAAGGATGTTGCTTAGTCAACCCATTCAACCACTGATGCCTATTACGTGCCACAACAGACAACCCACAGAATTCACTACTACTGGACAACAAGCTAAGTATGTTAAAACTATTTAGGGATCTGGATGCCACAGTTCTCTTCATCACAAAATTTTCTATGTTATGGCTTCAAACATTCACATGTGACTGTTTGGTTTGGTTTTAAAGATGTTTTGTAATCCAAAAATTATAGCAAGGTTACATTTATGGCATTCCCAGGTGCAATTTAAAGGATACATATATAATTTAACTAAATGATATGTTATCGTACAGCAACTCAAAGCTATAAAATAAAGTATTATTTATTGTAGAGTGCAACCTGGAAAACCCCATTTTATCTAATTCCACCTTCTTTGTTGGTTGTGCAGATAAATTTGTTCTGCTTGTCAAGTTCATAAGGTTTCAATTTGCAGAAATCACATCGTATAAGTCTTAAAAGAGTCCATTTTCTGGTTGTTATTTTATTGGATCAAATTCTTTCCAGCAGGTGTTATCAATGTTTACTCAATTCTACATATTCTCCTGGGGCTGGATTTTACAGTCCCTCTTTGGGCAGGTTTACGCGTGGGTGGGGAGTGTGGAGCACATAGAATACAAGGTGTGTCCAGTCTACCACCTTCCTGTGAAGCCCCCAGTTGTCCCTATACTGCAGTAAGTAATGGGTACCAAAATCAGCAGCCCATTCGTCATGTTTAAATTAATCATTAATGGTCAATTAAAATCTTCAAACTTGTTACCAAACCATCATACGGTTGGATGGGCAAGATTGAGTCATCCAGTGTTTAGGCCCAAATAGAAAAAAGTCAAGAAGAAAGGGGGGCATATCAATCACCGGGGGTTGGGGGGGGGGGTGGTAGGAGCTGTGCACATCAAGGGCAACCCCCACCGAAAAATGTTACCCACCCCATCGTTCCTTCCCGCCTGCCCTCCAAAACCAGACCATTTACACCCACAACCTCCAATAACACCCCCCAAACCCAGCCCCACCCCATCCCCCGACTCCCTAAGCCCAACTTACCTCGCTCTTTGTACATTTTTTTCATGGGTGTCCTTGCAAACCTGGCAATGCACACTGCCAGATTCTATTGCTGCTTGGACTGTTTGAATCACCAGATAATCAGTGCTCTGGAGGTCAGGCTTCCTCCCATAGAGGAGTGTAAGTCCCACTTTCTCCTCGTTCAGGACTCCTTGATTCAGGTTCATTGACTCCTGGCCGACTTTTCTGCTTGGCAGTGAAATGTTGACCTTGGTTTCACTGTCAAGAGTTATTCCTGTGAGCAGACTCTGCATTCTTTGTGATCAGGTGATTGTCCACAACGCCAACTGTGTAGTTGTACAAAAGTGTGATCTGGAAATGTAATCATGATTCCTTCTATGTCGTCAAAGGCACTTCTCCAACCTTCTAAAAGGTAGACTGATGAAGATTTCAGTGCAATTATGGTAGATACAAATTAACAAATTGTTTTAGTTTACACACAGCAAGATTATACAACCAGCAATAATAAGGAATTTCAACTTCCCAGTGTTAACTGGGATAGACAAACAGACAAAGGCTCATAGAAGTTGGAATTTTTTTTCATCTATCCAGGAGACCTTTTGAAAGTAGCATGTAGAAATTCCCACAAGAGACAGGGCAATGCTGGAACTAATTGCAGAGAGTGAAGCTGGTCAGCTGGTAGACGTGTCACTGAGAGAATATTTTGGTGAAAGTGATCACACTTAGTAAGATTTAAGATGGTCATTAAAAAGACAAAAATGGACCAGAAATAAAGACTTTAAAATGGGGTGTGTCTGATATTAATATGATCAGACTGGATCTGGTCAATGTGGCCTGGGAGCTGCTACCTGTAGGAAAATCTACATTGCAGCAGTGAGAGTTATTTAAAAAGGAAATAATGGAAGTGCATGGCTAACATATTCCTGTAAAGGTGAAGAATGGGACTAAAAAGTTCAGAGAACCCTGAATATCAAGGAATGTATAAAGACAAAAAGGGAAGCTTATTGCAGATAGGAATACTGCTGCGAGTAACTCACTTCCTGATTCCCCAGAGCCTGTGTCACCATCTACAAGATACAAGTCAGGAGTGTGAGGGAATACTCCCCACTTGCCTGGATGAGTGCAGCTCCAACAACACTCAAGAATCTTGACACCATTCAGGACAAAGCAGCCCGCTTGATTGGCACTACATCCACAAGCATCCACTTCCTCCACCACCGATGCTCAGTAGCAGCAGTGTGTATTCTGTACAAGATGTACTGCAGAAATTCACCAAAGATCCTCAGACAGCACCTTCCAAACCCACGACCACTTCCATCTAGAAGGACAAGGACAGCAGATACATGGGAACACCACCACCTTCAAGTTCCCCTCCAAGTCACTCACCATACTGACTTGGAAATATATCGCCGTTCCTTCACTGTCACTAGGTCAAAATCCTGGAATTCCCTCCCTCACAGCATTGTGGGTCAACCCATAGCAGATGGACGGCAGTCTTCAAGAAGGCAGCACACCACCACCTTCTCAAGGCAACTAGGGACAAGTATTAAATGCTGGCCAGCCAGCAATGCCCACATCCCACAATTGAATAAATAAAAAAAAAATCAGCGCACCAAAAACCCTGAGATAACAAGGTGTAGAGCTGGATGAACACAGCAGGCCAAGCAGCATCAGAGGAGCAGGAAGACTGACGTTTTGGGCCTAGACACTTCTTCAGAAAACCCTAAAACCCTAAAAACACCAAAAACCCTAGCAACATATAGAAAATGCAGAGAGTTCCTTACAAATTAAGTTAGATAAGCAAAGTAGGGGGGCAGGGGTGCATGAAAAAACGGTGGCAGCTAAAATAAAGGAAACTCAAGAGGCATTTTGTAGATATAGTAGAAGCCAGAGGATAACCAGGGAAAGTGTGGAACCTATTAGGGACCTAATCAGCAAATTATACGTGGAGTCAGAAGACGCAGGTGAGACTTAAACGAATGCTTTACATCTATATTCACCATTGAAAAGGACGTGTAGGTATATAAATCAGGGAGGAATACTGTGAAATACTTTAACAAATTACAATTGAAAAGGAGGGGGTATTATCCGGATAAGAGTGGATAAGTCCCAGGCCTGGATGAATTGCATCCCAAGCTGCTTTGGGAATCAAGGAAGGAGATTTCATGGGCCCAGACATTCATTTTCAAATCCCCTCTGGGCACAGGAGTGGTGCCAGAGGACAACTAACATGGTACCATACAAGGGTAGTAGAAATAAACCAGGGTACTATAGACCAGCAATTCTAAAGTCAATGGTAGGGAAGCTATTAGAAAAAATTCTGACGGACTCAGAGAGACAAGGATTAATCAAGGATAGTCAGCATGTCTTTCTCAAGGGGAAATCATGTCTGACAGGTTTGTTTGAGATTTTTGAGGAGGTGACTGGATGTGTGGATGAGGGTAATGCAGTGGATGTAGTTTACATGAGCTTCAGTAAACCTTTTGGCAATGTCTCACATGGGGGACTGATCTCGAAGGTAAGAGTCTATCCGTTTCAGGGCAATTTGGCAAATTGAATCCAAAATTAGCTTTGAGGCAGGAGGTAGAGGGTGATGGCTGGAAGTTGTTTTTTTGTGACAGGAAGCCTGAGTCCGGTGGTGTATCACAGGGTCCGGTGCTGGGTCCCTTGCTGTTTGTTGTGTACATTAATGACCTAGACATGAATGTAGAATGTTTGATCAATACATTTGTAGTTGACACAAAAATTAGTAGTGTAATAAATAGTGAAGAAGAAAGCTTTAGTCTACAGGATGATATAGACGGGCTGGTCAGATTTGCTGAACAGAGGCAAATGGTATTCAATCCTGAAAAATGCGAGGTAACTCATTTTGGGAGGATCAATAGGCAATGGAGTATATAATGAATGGCAAGATTCTATGAAGAACAGAGGATCAGAGGGACCTTAGTGTGCTTGTCCAAAAATCCTTAAGACAGCAGGACAGGTCAGAGGTTAAACAAGGCATATAGGATTCTTTCTTTTCCTAGAATAGGTATGGAATATAAGAGCAGGCCGCTTGTGGTGGAGCAGTTTAAGACTTTAGTTAAGCCATAGCTGGGGCGCAGTTCTGATCACCACACTATACAAAGGATGTAATTGCACTAGAGATGGTGCAGTGGAGATTCATCAGCATGTAACCTGGGCTGCAACATTTCAGCTATGATGAGTAACTAAATAGACTGGGTTTGTTTCGCTTACATCAGGGAAAGCTGAGGAGGGATCTAATTGAGATGTCCAAAGTTATAAGGGGCATAGATAGGGCAGAAAGGAATAAATCTTTCCCCTTAGCAGAGGGTCAGTAAGCAGTGAGCATAGATTTAAGGTTAAGTGGAGGCAGTTTAGAGGAGTTTTAGGGAAGAATTGTTTTACCCAGAGGGTGGTGGGTATCTGAAACCCACTGTCTGAAAGGATGGGAGAGACAGGAGCCCTCACAACATTTAAGAAGTATTTAGACAATCACGTGAAGCACTGTACCATACAAGGCTATAGGTCAAGTGTTGGAAGATGGAACTAGAGTGGATAGGTGTTTGATGACCAGTGTGGACACAATGGGTCAAAGGATCTCTTTCCGTGCTGTAAATCTTTAGAACTCTATGACGAGCATAGGAGGGAGGATTGGTGGCAGCACCCCACGTCAACTACAAGTTGTTGGTCTTAGGCATCTTATTTAACCTGGTGATATTGGCCTATTCAAAATACAACTGTGCAGATCTGGCTCCCATTGTGAGGAGAACAAACCCAGAAAAAGCTAAAGGTAAAGAGGAAAAATATTTTTTTGCAGAGAAGTGTTGCCTCTTTAATTGCATTCTGCTTTAAGAAAGGCTTAGCCAGTCCGTCAGCAGCTAAAAACATTTAAACAAGCATCAGGCAGTGCAGGATCATGAACGCTATAACAGTTAGGACTGCACTTGTCGCAAAAAGGCAACCAGAGCAGAGGGAAGAAGTGTAGAAAAGGTCAGTGAGTGCAACACTATGGCAGCAAAGAAGCCAATCTGAGTCAAGAATTGGTTGAGGTACAATCAGATGTCTGAGCTCTAGCAGTAAGTTAGATTCTTAAGTGAAAAGGGTATAAAACATATCTGAATAATGAAAAAAAGACCAGACTGGGAATTTGGAAAAACAAAACGGAAATACTTACCAACAAAATGAGTGGTGCTGGCTTGCAATTGTGAATGGGCGCCATAAGATACGGCTGCAAAAATCTAAATGGAACAGTAACTTTATAATGATGTCTGGACTATCTGGAAATTTGAAACAAATTTCAACATCATAGGTCCACTGCAGAAGTGGATTATGACCAATAAAATATTTCAGCTAAAACTTGGCTACATGTCATTTTCACCAAGATGGAAACAGAGGTTTGAAGAGCTTGTTATCCAATCAGAAGCAGAATACACTGTAGATGAGATATGGGAGAAAGACCAGAGATTGAGTATCAGTCATTGTCCTAAGCCAAACTGGAAAGCAAGAGCTGTAGTACCCCCATAAAGTCGCTGCTCTACTTTAATAGGTATTCATTTATAATTTAAGTTTCCTGAGTTAGCTCGCCAAACTGTCTCCTGTGGCCTAAATAAATAAAGTTGCAGATGAACAAATAAATATTGGAATTTAAGTTTAAATTGTATCCTAAAATG